GATTTGGGGTTAAGCAAATAATTCTTAAATAGGATACCAAAATCCTGAGCCATAAGAGAAAAAAAAATCAATAAATTGGACATCATTAAAACGAAAAATGTATATGCTTCAAAAGACATTTTAAAAATAAAGAGATAAACCAGAGACAAAAAAATCTATACATCTTATAGATGTATATACCTCTTAAAATCTTATAGATGTATACATCTTATACCTAGTAATCCATAATATATAAAGTCATGTATCCATAACATTCGAAGTCTTACAACTCAATACCAACAACCCAATTAAAAAATGGGCAAAAGACTTGAATAGACTATTTCACCAAAGAAGATAAAAGAATGGCCAATAAACACATGAAAAGGTGCTCATCAACACCACTAGCTATCAGAGAAAAACACATTACAGTTAAAATAGTAGGAAACAAAAACCTGCCCAGGCCCAGTGCCAGTGAAGGTTTGGAGCACCTGTGTATTTATTAGTCCATCTTTGTTGCTTATAACAAAATTACCTGAGACTGGGTAATTTATAGAGGTTTATTTGGCTTACGATTCTGGGACAGCTGCATCTGGCGTGGGGCCTCAGGCTGCTGCTACTCATGGCGGAAAGAGGCAGGCAGCCGGCAGGTACAAGCAGATCACATGGCGAGAGGAAGCAAGAGAGAGAGAAAGTGCCAGGGTATTTTTAAGCAACGAGCTCTCACGGGAACTAATAGAGCAAGAACTCACTCATTAATCCCCCCTCCCCCAGGGAGAGCATTAATCCATTCATGAGGGATCCGACACCATGACTCAGTTTCCAACACTGCCACATTGGGGATCAAATTTCCACATGAGTTTTGGAGGGGACAACACATCCAAACTCCATCAATCTGGGACTCCCACTGTGTGAGCTGGTGCAGTCACCGTGGAAAAGTTTTAGAAGTAACGTGAGCCAGCAATTCCACTCCTAAGAATCTGCCCAAGATAAACGAAACATATACCCACACAGACTTATACAAATAATTACAGCAGCATTATTCATAATGATCCCAAAATGGAAACAGTCCAAGTATCCGTCAGCTGACCATAGTGGGTGAATATGGTCTGTGCACAGAACAGTATTACTCAGCCACAGCAAGGCGTGAAGCGCTGACACACAGCGTGTGTGGACCTGGAACGCGATGCTCAGCGAGAGACGCCTGACACGCCAGACCACGTGTCATCTGCGAATGGCCTGAAACTGGGCAGCAGCGATGACTGCACAAGTCCGCACGCTTACTAAACACCACTGACTTATAATTATCCATCAGTGAGGCTGTTTTTGAAAAAGGATGGTAGGTAAGAACAGTACCTTAGTTAATACTTTGTTATCCCAACATACTTCTAGAAAGTAATTTCACCCTTGACAAACAAAATGAAATTAAGAAAGAAAACATATGTAATAATATAAAAAATAACTACGTAGGAAAAAATCTAAAAATTACATGCAAGATCCAACATAGAAATCTACAAAAACACTCCTGAGAGAAACTAAGAGGAGGGAATACGGCATGTCCACAGGTTGGAAGACTCGATATTGCAGTCAGCTCTCTACGAACTGCAGCACAGCTTGGATTTCAACAGGCTTTTGGTTTTGTTTTAGAAACTTCACAAGCGGCTTCTAAGGTCTCTATGGAAACTCAAAGGACCATGGAGAGCCAAGATGCTCTTGAAGTATGAGGTGGGAGGACCTGCCCCATCAGATATCAGAACTGACTGAAAAGGGTTGGCCAGTTAGCTCAGTGTGGTGCTGATAACACTCAGGTCCAGGGTTTGATCCCTGTTCTGGCCAGCCACCAGCCGCCAGAAAAAAAAACACAAAAACTTAACCAAAAGTCCTCCACAATTCAGATGGTGTGACAGCAGCACAGGAGAGACCACAAAGTCTGAGGGAGGCACCCCCAGACTCACGTGCCCTTGATTTACAGCCAGCAGAGACAGCCACTTTGCTAACTGGTGCTGAGTCCATCATAACCCACACAGAGAAAGTGTTAAACTTGAGCCCTACCTCATGCTCCTAGGAAGTGTATCAGAAGGGGGACTGCAGATACCAATGTGAAAGGTAAAAGCACAAAGTGTTTGCAAGATACTTTATATATATTCAAGTCCATTGCCAAATAGGACTTGAAACTACAAACGGTTGGTAAATGGGACTGCATAGAAATTTTTTTGGCAGTTTTCTATCTTTATTATTGGTATTTGAGGAATACAAGTTCAGTATGTAACACTTAAGGGACATCTTCTCAGGCTGCAAAGAAGTCACACCAGAACGACTCCTCAGGAGCAAAGAACTCACACCAGAACCACGGTGAGACAAGGAAAGACCAGCTGCAGGGCAGGAAGATGCTGGTGATGCCCCCATACAGAACATATGGTGCTTTTCTAACATCTCACAAATCAGACTGGCAGACAAGCTGATAGAAAATTGGCAAGAGACTTCAACATGCACTTGCCACAGCAGGATAATCCAGTGGCCCAGGAGCCTCTGAAAAGATGCTTGGTCTCACTGGTGACTGACAACGTGAAACATGATGGCACCACCAACATGGCACCACCTGCTGTCATCCGGGCTGAGTGTAAACAGCTGTGTGTGGATCCTGCCTATCTGGGGAGGGTGGCCTCCTCTGCCAGGAAGACACACACCCCTGTTGCAGCGATTCCACTTGGTTCTCCTAACAGACATGCACGCATGCGCCCCCCAGGATGTGATTGAGGCAGGCATCATTGCAAATGGCCCGAGCTGGGGAGGAGCTGCATCCTGCAGCAGCCACAGAACAGGGAATGTGCTCCATGATGTAGCTGAGAAGGCAGGGACGGTTGCATCTACGCTCAGCTGCATCTCACACAGACAGCGTTACACAGGAAGCCAAGCCCTGTGCAGCCTGTGACACCATCCACGTGAAGATTAAAAGTGGGTAGGAAAAAAAGAAAAAGCAACATTTCCTCCACAGGGGGAGTGAGAGGATTCAGAAAGCTCAAAAATCAATTGACTGATAACACCAAGGTCAAGGGTTATGATCCCCATGCCTGCCAGCTGCCAAAAACCAACCCTCCCCCCTCCCCAAACAACAACAAAAAACAGGCTGAGCTAAACTTAGGGGTAAAACTAGGAAAAAGTGCCAGGAAGTTACCAGCCTGGAGCCAGGACAGGCTGTGTGTGTGCGAGTGTCCGTGTGTCGGGATTGCACTGGAACTCAGTGGGCTGAACATTTATGTTGTATACACGCCTCAGTGTTACTGCAGGATTCCAGAGAGGTTTAAAAATGTCTAATCCAGTTGCCAAAATCCTGGTAAGGGTTTCCCCGCCATACAAAGCCCGGCTTGCGGTATACAGGAAGAGATTCCGTTCCTACCCTCCCAAAGTAAAATGACAGTAATGTTAACTCTCCGTTCCTGGTCCACCGGGAGAGTGAGGGGCTCCTGAGTGGAAGGCACGTGCCCCCAGTCCAGCCTCAGCCCCTGGCAGCCTGGACACAGGCAGAGAGGCCCCCATGTGGGCCGGGCCCAGAGTCCCTGCTGAGTCTGCACTTTCTACTGTGTAAACTTATCTGTGAGTCTTTCTGGGTGTGGACTTTCTCCCTGTGGATCTATAAATTCTCAGAAGAGAAGCTGAGAAATGACCTGGAAAAGAATCAAAGCTCGATAAAGGGAAAGGAGATAAGGTTGCTTCCTCAGGAGCTGCAGAGTCTCGGCTCTTGGAGGCTGGGGGAGCACTGGGACAGGAGGTGTGCGGGCGGTCCCCCACCTGCCATCTCCCTCTGCCACGCTTTGCAAGAGTTGTGCCTGAGAGTCCCACAAACCTCCATAAGCCTTGCCCTCCCAGGCCCGGTTTTGCTTTTTCTTGCCCCTTCCAGCACCTCTTGTGCATACACATTCCTACTGCCCTGCCAGCAGGCAGGCCCAACTGACAGAGCCAGAGGAAGGGTCTTGGGGGGCATGGAGGAGAGAACAGGCCTGCAGGGCGACAGCCAAACTTGTACCTGTTCGGCCCTGGAGAGAAAGTAACAGTGAGCTGGAGATGCGCAGGGGCAGGGCAAGCGGCCAGCAGCGGGAGAGCCCCCCAGGTAGGGAGGGGGATGTGGTTTCTCCTGGCATGAGAGCCTCCTTCCCCTGCTTGACTCGGGTGATCTCAGACCAGGCCAGGCACATGTCCCTGTGGACTCTGCACACACAGTGGGGTGACTATGGGGTGGCTAGGGTCTCCCTGCAGCCTTGGAGGACAGCGAAGGCAGCAGAGGCCAGGCTGCCCTGTGCTCTTCCCTGCCTGCCTCTTTCCTGGGAGGCTGGGGCTGGGGACAGCAAACAGGAGGTGGCTGTGGCCCTGCCAGGCATTCCTAGAAGAGGATCCGGGGGAGGGGCAGTGGCCAGACACCAGCCAACCCTGAGGTCACAGGAGAGGCCGAGGCTGGGCCTGGGTTGGGCCAGGCTATTGGGCACCCCGGGGAGGGCACGTGGGCAGTGTGCCAGGCAACGGGGCTTGGACAAATGGGGCAGCAATCAACTCCTAACACAACCATCTGCTCAGGCTGCAGAATGTGGGGTCCCCAAGACCCCAGGGGCTGCTAGGGGGTCCCTTGCCCATAGCGGGGGAGCTGGCAGAGCACTGGGCCCCGAAACCTGCCTTAGGTACCAACCCCTCAAAGCCTGCTCCATGGGAACCCCCACCCCTACCTGGCTGCCCCAGCCCTACCCCAGCCTTGCTGGGAGAGGGGATGGCTCATTGGCCCCCAGAGCTTTGGCATAGCCCACTGTGGACCCTGAAGGAGGCTGTGGGGCAAATGTAGCCCCCAGCCACACCTTGCACCATCTGCACCCAGGAGACTCAGGGCCGATGCTGGTGGCCCGGCACGAGGGGGTTAATGGAGCCGGGGCCAGCAGGGCTGGGCTGGCGGTGGTGGGGAAATCCAGAGAGCAAGAGCAGCTGGCCCGACAGACGCACGCTCGCCCCTGCCCCTGCCCCGTGGCCTGCTGTGCAGCAGGATGGCCCTTAGGAAAGGTGAGGCTCCGAGCACTCCCTGCCACTCACTCTGGGGGTGGTCGGCCCACGACCCTGAGCTCGCTGAGGCGAGGGCTGGCAGTGCCAGGGAAGCTCTGGGGGGCTTGGCTCTGGATGGGCTGGCAGGGAGAGATCCCATGGTGGGGAATGTGGGTGCTGGGGTGGAAGGGGGACATGGGGGGGCCTGGCACCAGAGAGTCTCTGATTCCTCTTCCCACCTCCCCACCAGCACACCAGGGTGGTGCAGAGGGTACAGGATGGGGCAAGGTGTTTCTCATCCCCACATCGAGGGCCTGGCCGAGGACTGCTTACTGGGCAGCCCACTGCCCCCCTCCAGCACTTGCTCCCCTGGGGACCTCATACCCTGTCCATCTCAGCCAGGAGCCCTCCTGAGGCCTGGGCCAGCCCGAGCCCAAGCCCATGCTCCAGGCCCCCTCCTACCCACCACAGCAGAGGCACAGCGGGTGGGGGGCGCCAGCTCTCTTGAGAGCAGCTCAGTGCCCAGCAGAGCAGGTTTGGGGACACTGTTGCTGGGAGGCTGCTGGCGGGTTGGTGGGGCTTGGTGCTCCTTGTCCTAAGACGTAACCTGACCTCTGGTAAGTCGATGGTCAGGGGTTCCTCTCCCCAGCAGCGTGGGGTCAAGGTTTGGTGCAGGCTGCACATACCAGGAAGCCTCACCAGGGCAGGGGGCACCCACTCACTGACCATTCTCCGAGGGCAGCAAGCAAACACCCCATCCTGGCCTGCTCCATAATATCCCCCAAATGGCCAGGCTTTAGCCTACAGCTCCAGCTCAGATCCCTCTCCTTCCTCCAGGCCAGCGTGGCAGCCTGGCCTGGCTGGAGCATCTGCATGGGGGTGCAGACAGCCACACAGCCTGATGGCCAGGGGCCCAGCCTGCCATAGCCACGTGGCCCAAGCCCTCGGCTCTTTCTGCACTGAGACAGGGACTGCCACCCTGCTGGTCCCATGGGGCACAAAGTGTAGGCCTCTCTTGAGCCTGAGGACCTGCTCATCCCGCTTGGCCTCTATTTCATAGTTATGTGGGGTGAGCACAGCCTCGGTTCAGATGGGCACCTCCTCTTGCTACGGCCAGGCCTCAGGAAGCTGGTGTCACACCCACCTAGGCAGAGCTCCCTCGGAGCTGCCTCCCCAAGCCCCTCTCCCTGCAGGAGGCCTGGCCCTGGCGGTGCTGCTGGTCACCTGGGCAGCACTGGGCCCCTGTGGCCTGAAGGGAGCAGAGCCCAGGACAGTGGGAGGCACCGAGGGCCCACAGTGCCCAGCCATCTGCACCTGCAGCTACGACGACTATATGGAGGAGCTCAACGTGTTCTGCAGCTCGCGGAACCTCACGCGGCTGCCTGATGGCATTCCTGACAGCGCCCGGGCCCTGTGGCTGGACGGCAACTGCCTCTTGTCCATCCCCCCAGCGGCCTTCCGGAACCTCTCCAGCCTCGACTTCCTCAACCTGCAGGGCAGTGGGCTGGGCAGTCTGGAGCCACGGGCGTTCCTGGGCCTGCAGAGCCTGTACCACCTGCACCTGGAGCGGAATGAGCTGCGCAGCCTGGCAGCCGGCACATTCACACACACACCCGGCCTGGCCTCACTCGGCCTCAGCAACAACCTCCTCAGCAGGGTAGACGAGGGCCTCTTCGAAGGCCTGGCCAATCTCTGGGACCTCAACCTCGGCTGGAACAGCCTGGTGGTGCTTCCCGACACCGTGTTCCAGGGCCTGGGCAACCTCCGAGAGCTGGTGCTGGCAGGCAACAAGCTGGCCTACCTGCAGCCTGCACTCTTCTGTGGTCTGGGCGAGCTGCGGGAGCTGGACCTGAGCAGGAACGCACTGCGGAGCATCAAGGCCAACGTCTTCACGCAGCTGCCCCGGCTGCAAAAGCTCTACCTGGACCGCAACCTCATCACTGCCGTGGCCCCCGGCGCCTTCCTCGGCATGAAGGCGCTGCGCTGGCTGGAGTTGTCCCACAACCGCGTCACCGGCCTCCTGGAGGACACCTTCCCGGGGCTGCTGGGCCTGCACGTCCTGCGCCTCTCATACAATGCTATCGCCAGCCTGCGACCCCGCACCTTCAAGGACCTGCACTTCCTGGAGGAGCTGCGGCTTGGCCATAACCGCCTGAGGCAGTTGGCGGAGAAGACGTTTGAGGGTCTGGGGCAGCTGGAGGTGCTCGCACTTAACAACAACCAGATCCAGGAGGTGAAGGCGGGTGCCTTCCTTGGCCTCTTCAACCTGGCTGTCATGAACCTGTCTGGCAACTGTCTTGGGAGCCTCCCAGAGCAGGTGTTCCAGGGCCTGGGCAAGCTGCACAGCCTGCACCTGGAGGGTAGCTGCCTAAGCCACATTGGGCCACACACATTTGCCGGCCTCTCGGGGCTGCGCAGGCTCTTCCTCAGGGACAACAGCATCACGGGCATCGAGGAGCAGAGCCTGTGGGGGTTGGCCGAGCTCCTGGAGCTCGACTTCACTGCCAACCAACTCACGCACCTGCCCCGCCGGCTCTTCCAGGGCCTGGGCAAGCTGGAGTACCTGCTCCTCTCTCGCAACCGGCTGTCGGCGCTGCCTGCAGATGCCCTGGGCCCCCTGCAGCGGGTCTTCTGGCTGGATGTCTCGCACAACCGCCTGGAGGTGCTGGCCACCAGCCTCCTGTCGCCGCTGGGACGGCTGCGCTACCTGAGCCTCAGGAACAACTCGCTGCAGACCTTCATGCCACAGTCCCCAGGTCTGGAGCGCCTGTGGCTGGAGGGCAACCCCTGGGACTGTGGCTGTCCCCTCAAGGCGCTGCGGGACTTTGCCCTGCAGAACCCCAATGTCGTGCCCCGCTTTGTCCAGGCTGTGCCCGATGGGGACGACCACCAGCCCCCCATGTACACCTACAACAACATCACCTGTGCCAGCCCTCCTGGCGCCGTGGGCCTTGACCTGCGGGACCTCGATGAGGCCCACTTTGCTCACTGCTAACGTGGGGCTCACCCTGGCCAGACACTGCCCTGTGGTCGGGACAGGGCCTCACTCTTCCTGCAGGAGTCGGTCCCCAGGGTCAGACAGGCACACCGCCCCAGTGCTCGGGACAGACAGTCCTAGAGTCTGTGGGTGCTGGCTCAGGGCATGTGGGCAGGGGCCTGGCCAGGAGGGCTGGAGGCCATCAGCTCCCCAGCTGTCATCAATTAAAAGCAATCTAAACAACACATGTGACCTCGAGAGCTGGACTTGGGAGGGGAAGGAGGGCGTGGCCTGGGTACGCTGCGGTCTCCCCTGCCCATGTCCTGCTCCTGCTCTGCCCATCCCATGCAGGGGCCCCGGCCAGACTCTATTGTGCCCCTGCGTGTCCTCTTGGTCCTCACAGCTGCCCGCTTGGGCTCCTCCCCAGTATACCCACCTGCCCCCTCCTAGGAATTGATGGGGACTTACTCAGGTCCTCCCAGAACCTCCACATTTTGCTTCTCTTTAGGACACTGTGCTGGGCACCAGGCAGTGTCCTCAGAGGCATCCCAGTCCTGGGTAGTCAGGGCCCTGCAGCCTCGTCACTGGCATGGTACAGAAGACTGAGGTGCTGCTGACGGCACCACAGTTAGCTCTGGATGATGTAGGCTGGCGGGGCAGAGGTAGGAACTGGCACAGCTTCTCCAGCACCCTGCACGCCAGGCAACGGCCTCAACAGCGGCCTTCTCTTACTCTCAAGGAAACTCCATTCGCAGAACCCGGGGTAGCCTCGCGGCCTGCCCACCCCCATGCCTCCTGTGCCGAGGGCCCGCGCTCCGCCCTGTTGTGCACAAGGCGTGCTTTCCGGGCTTTCTTGGGTCAACGCACAGGAGGAGACCCTGGGCTCACAGCTCACTCTTACCCTCATCTTCTCGTCTCAGCCACACTAGGCCCCAGGCTGCCCTCAGCGTCCCCGTGCAGGCAGTTCTCCCAAGGCTAAGCTTCCCCATCCGCGGCTTTCTCTGGTATCATAAAATCTTCCCAAAGTCCCACCAAATGAGAAACAAATGCACCCTCTCCTTGGTCTTCAGGGCCTTGTCGACAACAGAGCTGACAGAACTGCTGGTCCAGCCCTGCTGGCTGACCACCGAGGGCAGAACGATCTAGAAACGTGAGACTTGGAAGCACTGTGGTGGGACAAATTTAATGGTAGCTTCCTCTAAAGTTACAAGACATGCCTGGGGGCAGTCCAGCACCTCACAGGAGGCTTTCCTCCCTCAACACGTGATTCATCAATTCTCGGGGGATGGGAGTCCTGGGTCCCCTGAGGACAGCTGATGTTGAGTGAGCCCTGTGAGCGGTGTGGACACTCAGCTGTAAGGAGCAGCCAGTGTCTGGGGCACAGATGTGAAGCTCGATTGTAACCAGAGCTGGGAAGAAGCCTGTGCAGGGCCTAGACCACTGCTGTCTCAAGGCCACACCCAGGCCATGGCTGTCCTCAGCCCCAGCTGCCGCTGGAACCCTGGCAACAGCTCCCAGGGCCGGGCGGAGAGGTATCTGCACATCCAGGGCCCCGGGCCAGCACCTGTAGGCTTCCCCGGACCTGCACTCGGTAAGCGCCTCTCAGTGTCAGGAGCAGGGGCCGCCTCAGTCAAGAAAGCTGAGCCAGCGCCCTGTCCAGAATCTTCTGGGTTATGGAGATGAGCGCAGGAAAGGCAGGGCTCTTGGGGAACTCCTGGATGAAGTCGCGCCCCTCCTCTAGGCTTCTTGTGAGCTCGGGGTCCAGGGGCACAGAGCCTGTGAACATGAGACAGGCAGCGGCTGCAAGCGGTGCGACCCTCAGCTGCTGCTATGGCTGAGACCCTCACACGCTGCCCGGCGGCACAGTGACCATCCACGTGAAGGGAGTATGGGACAAGCTCTGGGGACCTCAGCGCCCCAAAAGAGGCACTCCCAAAGCCACGGCCCGGGTGGATGCTGTCCCACCCTCTGCTCAGTGGTTGCAGCAGGCATGTCAGCCGTGTGGCCCCACTCACTTGGTGGCAGTGGATCTCCTAGAGGTGAGGAGTGCTCACAGCCAGTGCCTTGCGTGTCACAAGGAAGCCAGAAAGACACGGCTCCTGCCGCTCTCCTCTTCTTTGGGCACCCCGTGGGCACAGGTAAGTCAGGCCCACCCAGAGCAGAGGCCCCAGAGGGGAGAGCTGGACCCGGCTGCCCCCAGCTCTCAGGCACTCACCTAAAAAGGGAACCCCGGCGTGTCTGGCCAGCTCCTCCCCGCCGCCCCTGGAGAAGACGTTGGTGCACTCCTAGGAGACGGGGGCTGTGAGTGCCCTGCCTGCCACACTCTGTAGGTGCAGGGAGTGGCCTGGGCAGGTGGCAGCAGCTCTCCTGTGCCTGTGAACCTGCCCTGTGCCTGCCCACCAGCCCTGTGACGGTCCCGACCACCTGCCCCAACTCACCGCGCAGTGTGGGCAGACAAAGCTGCTCATGTTTTCCACGACCCCCATCACCTGCAGCCCTGTCTTCCTGCAGAAGGTCAGCTCCCGCCGCACGTCCCCCACGGACACTGCCTGGAGACAAAGAAGACATGTCTGGCTGACCAGCTGCACTCTAAACCAAGGGGTGCCGAAGAGCAGGGAGACCCTCCCCCGCTGGCACTGGGGACAGTCTTCACACATGGGGAGCTGGGAGCCATACCTGCGGCGTGGTGACCACGAGGGCCCCCAGGGGCTTGTAGGGACGCAGGGCTTCGAGGGTAGCGATGTGCTCGTCAGAGGTCCCCGGGGGTGTGTCCACAACCAGGTAGTCCAGTTCCCCCCAGGCCACGTCAGACACAAACTGCTTTATCAGTGCTGTGAAGCCCATGTGGTCAGCAGAGGCAAGTCTGTGCTGCCAGACCAAGCCCGAGGAAGGGGCCTCAGCTTGTCAGGCCAGCGCCCCCACCAGCCCCCATTGAACATGCTTGGAAGGCCCCAGACCACCCTGCAGCCCAAGGTGGCATGTGCAGAGCCTGTCCCCTCCCCACAACACCTCTTCCTCCTCAGCTTCTGGGCCACTCCTAGCACCCACCCCTGCCTCAACACCCTGCCCTGCAGGGCCAGTAGCGGACTCCTGCTGAGACCTCAGCTCAGGACACTGAGCTGGGACCCTCTGCGGGTGGGGGTGGGGGGGTGTCTGTACCCAGACTTGGGGACACCCAAGTCCTCAGGCCTGGAGAGGAGGTGGCCTACAGTGGAACCCTGGCTGGTGGGTCCAGAAGCAGCCACCTGCCTGGGCTTGTGTCTCACCCCTGGCCACCTTCCTGCAATTAGAGAGGGTTTAACACCACCTGCTGCTCCGGCAGGACCACAGCCCAACCTCAGTGCCACCCTCCCCCTGATCACTGGGTGGTCTTTGGTCCTTACATCCCAAGGGTGCAGGTGTGATCAGACCCAACCCCTCCTGACAGGGAAACAGGGCTGCTGTGGCCAATGGCTTCCCAATGACGCTGACTACAGATGCTTGCTCTGACTCGGTCCCATCTGATGACCCACCCAGAGCCTGTGTCTGGGCACCAGGGACGCCCTGCACAGCTGTCCTGGTGCAGGCCTGGCTGCTTTATAGTGAGTGGTGGGGGCAATTCTGCAGGAAGAGCCATCTTCCAGTGGAGAGGCCATAGCTAAACTCCTCTGACTTTACTGATGGCAGTGGCCTTGAGGAAGGAGGGTCTGCTGGAGAGGCTGGAAGGCTGCTGGCATCTGCCCCTGCCTGGTCATTACCGTTCTTCTTGGGGCCTCTCCACACCACGGCCTCATCCGGCTTCTCCAGCAGAAAGCCCACAGACATGAGGGCGATGCTCTGCTCCTGGTCCACAAAGACGGGCACCCAGCCGCTGTCGCACTGGTGCACAGCCCTGCCCTGCACTTGGAGCATGCGGGGAATGCTGGGGCCACATAGGTCCACGTCGAGGATGCCTACCTGCAGGAGGCGGGATGCCCACAGGCAACACACTGTCAGGTGAGGCGGTGAGAAGCCTACAATGCCTGTTTTGGCGGCATGGGGGATGCCCTTGAATCTCCGTCCACCAACTGGGGCAGGGGCAGTGGCGGCAGCTCAGGGAGGGACAGGACAGCTGGCAGGGCCGGCAGTGCTAGATATGGGCTCGGCAGGGGTGGGCTCACCTTCTTGCCTGCATGGCGCAGAGCCAGAGCCAGCTCCGTGGAGATGGTGCTTTTCCCAACGCCCCCCTTTCCCGAGAGGATGAGGATGATGTGCCGGACGCCGGCCAGGTTCCCACACTCTGCTTTGAAACAAGGTGGTGGAAGGTCAGGGAGTCCCTTGAGCACCAGGTGCTCTCGCTACTCATTCAGGGTCACCAAGCACCTCCCACGTCCAGGGCAGTGGTTAATGATCACACCCAGATGTGGTCCCCTTTCCCTGACAGAGCAAAGACCCCAGGTGTTAGGTCTTCCAGCAGCCCCAGCCTGCTGATCCCTCAAACACTGTGTGCCTGCGTAGGTGCGTGCACACACACACAGGTGACATAATCTTAAAACTGTCAGCTCTGGTAATTCTAATGAGACACAAACGAGACTAAGCCACATGGTACATCTGTACAAAAGGCAGATGCCCCCAGCCCACTCCCCTAGGGTCAGAAGAGGCACATGAGGCAGCCCTGAGCTCTCAGGGACCTGCCTGGCCACAATCCAACACATGTGCACAGTGCCACCGGGCTGGCTCAAGGCCTTAAGAAGCCAAGTGGTGTCCTTGGCCCCTCCCCACAACTCTGTGGATCCCACTGCCTGCTCTGGCCCAGCTCCTCTTCTTTCTGGTGGGTCCACAATGCGGCCTGGTGAACACACACCCTCCTGACCCCGCCACACCACAGGGTTGCTGTCTGCACACACAACCCTCAGCCACACTACAAGACCCCCATGTTCTCACCCCAGTGCCACCACTCAGACCCCTGCCTCATCTCCAGCAGGCTGCTCTACCACCTGCTGTCCTGGTCCTCAGGAGGATGGACATGGGGGCTGAACAAATGACACATAATCCTCCTGACCCTCCTCTCAAGGGTAGGTTCAAAGGCCACCGGATCCAAAGCCTCCCAGGAAGAACTTGGAGAGTACCTGGCCTGGCTTTCGGGCAGGGCCTTCTCACAAATGTGTTGCAATGCCTGCCCATGGTGTTATTCAGGTGACAGGAAAGGCCCCCCCCCCCGCCCCCCCAGGCATCATGTTCAAAAACAAAGCCTGAAAACTGTGGCTTTGAGATCATCTCTATAGCAATTAGGTTATTACTTAAGTCACCTTAATATTGACAAGTACCGAGAGTAAACTGTGCAGAGAAGCAAGTTCACTTCTGTTGCAGCCAGGGGGACTCTGGGAAGACCCTGCTGGATCTCGGTCCTGACTTCTACTCTGCATTGGGGCCGGTGCTGGACAGCAAAGGTATTAATCCCAGGAACCAGGCTTTCCCCATTGGTAGAAGTGGGGAATGTTATCTGCTGGTGCTAAGCGCCAAACACAGCAGCACTACTGTCAGGTAACTGGGAGGTGCAGGGGCTTCCCAGACAACAACCTTGGGGTCAACCCCCAGAACCTTTCACTCCTAAGCAAACTGAGAAAGTTTATAAGCGGATTATCAGAGATATGCATTCACTAAGGGATTACTACAGAGGCTGTGCCGAGTGGGGAGAAGATGGCAAAGAAAGAACACAAAGAGTCTCCCTGGAGGGAGGCTACAGCCCTCCCTATGGATAACAAGTCCTGGTCAGCCTTCTGGGTAATGTCCAACCAAATCCAGGTCATTTGACGTGCTGGACAAGTATGTGTTTTTATATGAAAAAAATCTGGAAAAATACAAGTAACAACTGAGGACAGGGTTGCCTCAGGGAACGGGGTCAATTTAATGCATATCCTTTAGGCCTTTTGAATTTTTATGTGCACTTTTTCCCTAGTTTAAAGAAAAAAGTTTCTATCACTCTGAATGACTTTGTTTTTCTCATTCTGTAGCAAATCTACCCTAATCTTAAGAAAAAACTGCAGATTCTTCCCTCCAGCACAGGATTCCAATGCCATGTTCACAACCTGTGGGATGCGGGTTGTGAGGCTTTGTTGCCCAGTCTGTCCCCCTTCCGGTACCGAAGTCGCTCAGAAGATAGGAAGGCAGCCGCCCCTGCTAACACCGCCTCTGGCCCACCCACTAATATGAGTGTCCCACGCAACTTCCGCCTTTCTGAAGGCTCAGAAGCTACATTGATACTTCCACCAGAACTACGAGCACGTGACATTCTGCTTTTTCCCTCTTTTTAGAAGAATGTGTGTAAACAAGATTCCTGATTAAGTCTCGCTCAAACTTCAAGTCTCAAATCTTCTGGCGTCACCAGGCTACCAAATCAAAGACCCACAGCACGCGATAGGGAAATACTGTGTTTGAAAGCAGCCAAGATGAGTTAGCGTCGCTCCGGGGCCGCTGCGGGCGCGGTGCAGACAGAAGAGCCCGCCCAGAGGAGGGTGTGGGTCCGGTGGCCGCGGACTGCCGGGCCTGGACCAGAGGCGGCGAGGCCCGCTCTCCGTCGGAGCAGGCACACCCGCCGGCCTGCGGCTGAAGGGGCGACTGCGACAGCGCGCACGGAGGCGGGCCCGGGCCCGCACGCTCACCAGCCGCCGCCTCCATCCCACCGACGCGCCTCACGCCTTCCTTCCGCTTCCTCGCGCGGGCCGCTCGTCTCCCC